TGAATGTGCACTCTGAGCAAATGAGGTCACCTGAGATTGGTTTCGGCGATATCGTGATGGAGTGTCGAAGACGTTGTGATATTGTGCTTGTGGTTATTCTCGGTTTCCATGGGTGTTGTCTTCAACCGATATGTTTGCTTTGTCAGAAATATTTCGAACTGAGAATCGTTTCATCGAGGCGTGATGAATTATGTTTCCTTGATCACAATGAGATTTGAACCCTCAGAACGACATATCATTCGAAGTAATTCTGATGTTATCTCCCGGAAACGGCTTATTTTATTCAGCGCATGTGGATGATGATGCGTCGTTTCCAAGTGATGGGACTGTTGGTTGTTCTAATGAGTGTTATCCGTCACGCACGCAAACAATTTATTTAGTTTCTCAAGTGATATGCTCTGTCTTGCTACTTATTATCTTCTTCAGAATTCGGCTGAATCACAGTGCTCAGCCATCATCACAAACACTCATTAAAGTCTAAATTCGAACTGATATATTGAGTGACATATTCCATTTCAGATTTCCTGAATATAGAATGGTATTCCAATCAACTTGCTATTCATAATATCAATAATGTTGATTGAATCCATCAATGCAATTCATTTGACCTATGTAACACGAGCAGTCTCTACCATGCCGTTTCGCCTCTACTTCCGTTGCCATTCAATATGCTTTTATGTTTCAGTCATATCTCAGAATATACGACTGAATAGTCGGCGCATTGTTGCGATTAATGCTAATCATTTCATTGCGTTGAATTTGTATATACAAAATCGCTTTAAATCACACATTCCTATCATAGTTAAAGGTAAGATAAATTCGATGTGTTTCAATTTCGAAAGACTCCAATTGAAAACTGCAAACATGTTAAGAGTTACTATTGCTAGAAAACGAGACATTAGGAAATCAGGAATGAAAACATGCACTCACGTATTCATCGACTTCAAGTAGACAGGCCCGGACAATTACATAAGCCGATGCGAAAATTAATATACATTGCATATTGTGTGACATGCAATTGCACCATTATGTAAAATATTGTAAAGATGGTTGAATATCACTAAGCAAAACGCTAAGCGCTAACTGATTTACTTTGCTCGTGACATTTCCGAGGTGAACTAAATATACTTCGGTTCGCTGCGGTAGTGTTGTCTCAGCATTGCGCTTTTGAAAAATCCTTACTTTCCACTAGTAATACACTTGATCCCATTACTGGAGTGACTTTTCATTCTGTGAACATTTCACTTCGCATGGACACACAGAAACAAGTCTGACAACCTAAGCACACCTTCGGTGATGTCCTACATACATTATCGAATGTCCACCACTTCATGAAACGGATACGCTTTCATGTGCATCTTGACTCAGTGTGGATAATTCTGGTGCATTATGGGTGACATTTGTCTCCCACTGACCGATGTGATCGGGGTTCTTTCCTAATCAGTTAAAACAACTAATTCATATGTGATACGGCGATATCATTTCAGCACGCCATATGAGTGACACATCAATCGTCAGATAGATCATTTTACCATTCGGAGGTCAGATGAGGCGTTTCAATCTCACATAATTGCAGTATGCTACTTTGTATGGGAATTGATTCAAAGTTTCAGTTGTGTCGAAACTCGCATGGGCACTGATTACATCCCATTGAAAAGCACCAATCCACACACGCATATATGTCTATGCTCATATGAGGTCGACGATAATCATGTGGAAGTTCATTTATTCGCTGCGATTTGGTTTATGTAGCCTCACGTTTGTCGATAACTACGAATGTTAAGGGAAAGAAATCAGTCGGAGATTCTGACACAGAGTAATCCAGCGAGTCGTCTACTTCAGTTGTGTGACAGTCATGTCAGAATACTTGTAAGATGAGAGTGACATTTCACATGGTAGTGATTCCATGACATTATTGTAGTTTTGCGAATTGTCACGGTATCCTGAGAAGTAGGACCGACATAAATCGCAGATTAGTTAAGTTTGATGTTTGTTTTGTCTGTGCTGCTTGTGACTGATTGTTCAATTTTTTCTTGCTTAATGCAAACCACGAATTACTTTTGATTTAATATAAGATGCAGGTCCACGGGAATTCATTTTGACTTTGGTCATTTTGATAACACATTTTGTCTATTCCTGTTTTTACCATCTTTTTGCCTCCTGTTATGCAGGTTTCTTTATATTCAATCTGCTTGAATAAATGGTGATGAGATATCTCTATTATTGCGAGTATTCATGATCTTCTGTGTCGATTTCTTCATTCAATTGTTTAGGATTACAAAGTCAGTATACAAATATCTTGATTCAAATTTTTCGTATGAAATTTAAAATGTCTCACTTAATTTTTACACGGGTTCAGTGATGTAGCCGTTTTGAACATGCATATGTTGTAGTTTTTGAATTCTTGTTCACTGGTTGATTAACACTTTAGCTGAATGACCGATACCATGAATACCATAACCTGCATAAGCTCCTTAGGCGCTTTCAGAGTCAACTTTCTTGTCATTTTGCACACATTCATTTTCGGGTTCAGGGATTCTATGGCTTTAGCACTAGGTGGTTTATTATCCGTTGGGATAATTTTGGAAATTCTAAAGTCAGATATATTCATGCATTGGACATGAATTTGACTCTTTGAAGAATGGTCATATTGAAATGGAAGTAATCATTTAACCATACCTGAATATTTTTGAATAAATCATGTGTTGAATAAAATGAATATGTTTACATGTACAGGCAAGAGTAAGTACAAATCATAGTATCCTTTGAAGTCGTTGTTCTCAAATTAGCTTAGATATGCAGACATCCACACACACTGTGACTGTGAACTAAATATGTGTCAAATTCAGTATACGATGTTTGTGGTTTCATCCGCTGGTAGCGAGTTGACTAACTTGAGTTTTGATAATGACAAAAAACTATTTCGCAGTCAGAATAATATCGTGTCTTATTAGATGTTTGACGCCTTTCATTACCTCAACAGCCTATCTTACTCATAATAATACTGGAAACCACCTAAATTCAAATCATTCACCAAGCTTCACGAAACATTTGCTTAACTGACCGATTATATTACTCTTATCCTTATCCAGTTCTATTTACATTCGCAAGACTTTGGCATGTTCCACAAAAATTAATTCGTGATATGAACCAGTTAGCTCGAAATCGAGGTGAACGAACATCGAGGAGAAAGCTAATTTGAGACAGTGTGTGACACTTCAGCATATTGTATGCAGTGATGTTCCTGAAGCGTAAATTGAGCGTTATGCGGTCTTGTGGTATTTTCCCACCACTAAGTTGAGCATCAATACTCGTTCGATTTTTACAAATACTTCCTCCCATAGCATTCGTCATTTCACCACAGTAAAGTGATAGAGAAATATGTGAACGTAGAGGGATTTACATTTCCTCCTGAACATTCAACGTCTCACTGAAACCAAGTTGCAAGGCACAAATGTTCAATGCATTTGACACGCAACCTGCTTACTGGTTTCAATGATTCATGAAATCACTATCCACTATGTGTTTTGGCGAAATAATCGAAAAGTCCTCATGTGTTACCAGTGGAATAAATAGCTTTCCTACCGCTCAAAGTTCTATGCGCTTTTTCAAATTTCGTCGTCACTGCGTACTGCTGTGATTTATTTTAAAATATCAACAGCAAAATTTCGAAATGATACAATTATATAGGTGAATAATTTGATCAACTTTGCGAAATTCTTCTGCTTGACGATCGTCGAATTTAGCGAGTGAATTATCGTCTAGACTATTTTTAGACGCGTTCATCCTCAAAAGAGCCTCCTTAAATTTGGTTATTTTAATACTCAGTGCATAAATGTAAATAATATTGATTATGAATTTACTAAAGTTCCTATATGCAAAATCTTTCAAAATCATCCATGTTTTTAGTGAAAGGTGAGTATTCTCTGAAACACAGAGAGAATATTTGGGGTGAAACATAGTAAATCACACTAAAAACGTATCTCGCTAAAATAAATCGTAGAAAACGAATAATAAGAACTTGAAAAGACCCTTATATCTCTGAACACGATTGTCAAAAGAGCCTAAGTAAAAACATTGACAAACTCTCACTTTGATATATTTATTCCCTCTCATTTTATAATCCACTCAATAATAATAAATCTACTTGAAATGTCAAATGAAAAACACTTTCGGAAACTATTACATCAGAATCACTTTTCAAGCCATTTTTCATATCTGATTAAGCTTAGTTGGTAAATGAGAGACTCGCTTCATGAGTTGTGGAGAATAATGCACATGCCACAGTCAGTGTTCATTATATGATAAGAATATTGCTGCTGATGTGTTATCACAGGTTACTACTGCCCCTTACACCTCTGTATTTATGTGGTGACACTATTCTATGAAGATAATTATCGTTTTCACTTTGTTTGTGACAGTTGTGACAGTTTGCAATTCGCCTGACTGAATATCACGAAGAATTCATTGAACTGAAATGGAGTCTGTGAATGTTAACCTTGCATCTCGTCACAGAATCGCACTATGACTTCGAAAGAAGCAACAAAGGTGAATAAAGAGGGATTTTACGAATTCAAAATATTTAGGCAGAACTCTTCAGCTGAATGCTCTACGTACGCAGATTGATATATACATATATATTTATGCTACTAAAAATACGTTGGGAGATATAAGCAAATAAACTTCATTGAACTAATCACGCAAACCGACACGTGCTAACGTTTTTCAGGTCACATGCAAACAGATAACGGAAAGGGAGTATGGCAGATTAAAATTAAGATAAAATGCATTACGCATCAATTACACCACTAAGATAAACAATTATTCATTGGAGAATACATCAAGGATTGCGAAATGAGTAATATTGGTAGTTATATTTATAATACTAATCCTGAAAAGAGTTAAGATAATGCTACAGATATAAGGTAGTTTAAAGTGAACCAGGAATATTAATAACAGGTAGGAAAATAAAGTGGTAATAATATTCATAATAATGAAAGTAAAGTCGAATGTAACACTATGGCAGATTCAAAGTTACGACTGTTTACTTTTGTACGCAGACACCTGGTTAATAAACTAGAATTGCACAAACTTCGACAATTGCAACATCTTGTTTCTTTGTCTACTTATTTAATATTTTCCAGAAACAGAAAGTCAGTTAATAAATTTTTAGAGCAAATTTTATGCTTAAGATTTGCACATCACTCTTCAGTTTTCGAGTGTGAATAAAATCTGCAAAATCTATATCAAGAAGTTAGGGTGTTCAAAATCTTACATGCAAGCCTAATTACCAGCATTTCGAATGCCTTTACCTGAATTCTGTATTTATGATTACAAAACTGGCTTTATTTCTCAAGATGCTCGGTACCATCTTTTAAGATTAGAATGACAATTTGTTCAATATTAATCGAATTTATGAGTGTCATTCACAAAGATAATTATTTTAATTATTACGTCAAGTGAATTCTGGCAACTAATAGGATTTCTATTCTTGGAGAACACCGTTATTCATATTTAAATTATTTTTCAACCCTATTGGTAATATGTTTATTTTCCAATGTGCTTTATGGAATGAATTTGTTCACAACTGCAGAAAAGAGTAAGCCTTATTCATATTGTTCAAAAATGTTTTTGAAGACATCAAACAAGTTAATAAAAGCACTTTGAAAAGGGGAAAATATCAGTCAAATTCATCATAAGACATGTGCTTCAGTTGTGATAATGACAAAACTAATATCACGCTTGAAAATTATCGTCTCTCATTCCCCGTATGAAACCATTCAGTGCACTTATCTTCAAATATACTAACTTCAGACTCATCAATCAAACCTGATGCAATAGTTATTGGATTACTCGAATTTGTTACTCTTATCCATGTCCAAATTTGTGCTTTTACTGGAATGAGTGTGGTTTTGCACAGATGTTTACGTGAACTAAACTAAATGGCCTTAAAGGCAGATAAAAAGATGTCGATATGATAGATAATTTCAGACACTAGTTTGAACTTCAAAAGATCAAATGGATAAAAGTTTCTCAGATGGAAAATAATCGTCAGTTCACCATGTGTGATAGTCTGAACACTCAGTTGAGTATAAAGACGACTGTGTATGCGAATTACCTAAAACTACACGTCGATTTGCCATCCAAGAAAAAAGGAAAGAGAAAGAGATGTATGTTGACAGATTTGTATTCTCATCCTAAGCATTCAGATGGGATAGGCAATTGGTTTGATGCGTGTCATCTGTAGTGTTCTCAGTCAAATCTATTGGACTTTCTGGCGATTTGATTTGTTTTCCGCCGTATCATTTTGTTCAGAATTGTGTGGAACAGATCGCTCAGCTATCTCCGTAAATATCTAGTATTCTGTTCATTCGAACGTATTGAGGGAATTGTATACTACCTGGAAGATCTTCGACATGTATGTTGGAGTCGGAAGTCGTTTGTTTTGTTTGACTGGTTGGAGGATTTCGTCATGAGGTGACATCAATTATAGAACCATCAAAACACCTGAAAGTACTGGACAGCTGTTTTGCCAACCTCGTTTGAGACTCTACATCAGTAAGCACCAAACAGACAGGATCAAATCAAGGACCTTATGGTTGCAACGCGAGCTAGTAGACCATCAAGCCACTGTAACCTGATCAAATGGCCGGCGAATGAGATATGATTTCTGCCAATTTTGACACAGCGCCACCACTTCACAATGTCTTCATCGAGGGGTTACTGCTCCAGCTACAATCTCCTCTACACTACTTGAAATTTTGACTTACATACTGGCTTACCAACGGAGGATAAGAATCCTACAAATCGAATAAGCTCCTCAATATCTGACAAGATCTGAACATAAATTTTGAGTTCAAGGATGCCTATTTATACAGTGTTGACTGGTTTGCTGAGTGTAATACACTTGTGTGGTTTTGGAAATTTTTAGCTGAACAGAAGCCCACAATCCTTCCATCAAAAATGAGACTGATGCTATCTGATTATTTACATCATGTTGAATAGATCTTGTTAAAACAAATGACTTTGTTTTCATTCGCAGATAAAAGTAAGCGTAATCATTTAGCTTGAAGAATGTTGGTTTCCACATTATTCAGTTACTCACATATTCAATTATATCGTCAAACAACTATAAGAATTATCATACTGACATAAATCACGTTGTATTCAGAAAAGGATTGCCTTTCATCAACTGATTGACACCAGCAGCTTATCCGTGACCACCTCTTCTTGCAATGCACTGAAGGAACACTTGCGTTTATCTCATTCACCTAGCTTGAAGCACTAATTCCTGTATTGCCTGAATATCTTATTCTTCGATTTGCTCAAATCTATTCACATCCACGTGACCAGAATATCTTTTAAAAGAATTCATATGTGTAATACAACAGACAAATGCAAATGAAGTTTAACAGGTATCGAGGCGCAGGGCGATTTTACGAACCGGCTGTAATTTCAATGCATCAACTTGGGGAAAGTTGTTCAGATCAAATTGGTCGACCAAGTGGTGCTTTGACGTCTTTACCTCACTCAGTTGAGCATTGACACTAGTTTGATTAAAATATAAAAAATTTCCTTTTGCATTCATTTGATTTTCGGTGTAAACTCAGACAGAAATTGATGTATGTGGACAGGTGTACATTCATTTCCTGAACTTAAAGCACTTCAATCAAATCAGTTTTGAGTAGGTACATTTTCACTGCATTTGATACATAAGCTTCTCACTGAATTCTATGGACGTTCAAATCGTTATCCAAAGTGTAGTCTACTGAAATGACATATTCTTCTGGGTAACACTTCTGAAATACGTTCAGCTGATGAAACTAAATTATATTTATTTATTGTTCCTAAATTTCATAACACTATCGGAAATAGGTAAGTGAATTCAATCTAAGAGTAATTAGGGCTACCTAAGATAGCATTCAGTGACATCGTAGGACAATATTGATTTTTATCATGTGATCCTTGTGGTTATTCTCAGTTTCCGGATTCGTTGCCATGATCTGATTGATTTTGTTTGTCAGAGAACATTTTGAACTGAGACTTGTTTCATCAGGTGGTAAGAAATTGTTTATCACTATGGCAGATTAAGTTGTTTATCTTGAATACGAAAAATTAGTCATCGTGAGGCCAGCAACCCCACCCTGTAAACAAACCTGCTACAGAAACTTCACCATGAGCAATCTTTATTCCACCTACTATTTATATTTGTAAAAAATAAAATTTGTAAGTTCTCTGCGAGATTGAAATAAGTAATTCCAACGTTTCGTTCGGCAATCTGTTCCGAACTTCTTCAGGGAAATTAATCGAAATGTACATACCACAGGTTTATATTTAAAAAGGAACATCACTTGTTTTACCCACACATTCATACACACTGTGTTTAAAGTGTTTAACAAAGGTAGACCAATATTTGTACGCCCGGGGTCAAATTTTGACCACAGCTCATAAAATTTTGTTTATTATACTTGTTGAAACTTTTTGAATGACTCATGATTGGACAAATTTCCAAAATAAGTGATGTTCCTTTTTATATATAAACCTATGTTATGTTAATTTCGATTCATTTTCCTGAAGAAGTTCGGACCAGATTGCCGAACGAAACGTTGGAATTACTCATTTCAATCTTTTTTTTTAAATGTCTACTTCTCAATCGGCGCCCAAATATTTTAGAACTATTCTGTCAAATCTTGACGACAGTTCATTTGAACACCTACTATTTACTTTATTCGTCAAAAAAAACAATAAGTAGGACCGGCATAAATCCCAGATGAGTTAAGTTTGATATTTGCTTTGTCTGTGCTGTTTGTGTTTATTTGTTTAATATATGGTTTGTTGTTATTTTAACCTAATTTATTGTCATGTGTCTGGTTGGTGTTTACCTTACTTAATTTCGCGTCTAATTCCCTAATTTCTAGGTGACGTGAATAATTGAGGCGTATTTTTCACTTACACAGCTATTTCATGCATTTCGATGCCACAGAATTATCCTTCATGAAATATCTATTTATATTTGTTTGATTTGCGTACATGGTCTTCTCTCATAATGCATCTTTTTTCATCTCATTATATTGCAGCTAATGAAAGTTAGTAACCTAAAATAAGTATTCTATTATTTTGCACGATTATTCAGTGGCTTCTCCTCACTTCTTGGATGCAACATTACGCTCAATCTTCTCTTCATCAATACCTCAAATAGCCAACCTTCTATCTGACATTGTAGCCAACAAACAAGATAACTGATGGACGGTATAAGCGCAGCAAATTAAATTTGCTTCATTTGTTTCTTATATACCACTTTATTTATACCACTTTATTCGTGAAGATATGAACATAACTTTTGAAACTAATGAAGACTACCTAAACAGTGTTAACTGGTTTATTGATTGTAATACGCTTGTGTAATTTTGAAAACTAATGTACAAGAGAATCCTTACGATGCCTACATTGAAGTTAAAACTGTTGTTTAATGATTATTTCGATTGTGTTGAATATACGGTGCTGAATCAAGTGAATTTGTTCTCACTCACAGAAAGAAGTAAGCATAAATCTTATGGTCTAAAAGATGTTCATTCAATTATTTATCAATCATAACACAAAGATTTCGAATACAATATGAGTGGCAATATGCATACCACAAACTTCCCTACTTTGCTCGACATCATACTCAGTCACCTGAATAAACATACTGTCACTGAGTTATTTGTAATCACAAAAGTATCGACTCTCACAAACCATATCGTGACGGTGTAACGACAGAAGGCAAGAGTCAGGCAACAGATCATTTATTAAGGAAATCAACGCATATTTATATTTGTTTTCATGTACATTACTATGGATATGTAAACAAACAAACACAGTCTTCCGATTGGTTGTTTCTCACGACAAATCTTGGGAACGTACATATTGACGTAAATTACTGTCTACCAATTTGGCTAGTAGACAGCTCTCACCACAACGATACCTACCTCGCAATCACTTACTTTGAAAATTATCTGGTGAGACATTGGAATCTAATCAAGTCGCTTAGCTCAAAGCACTAATTACCTGATAAGCCAAGTATGTCACTCTGATACTAGTTGAAATCTGTTAATATTCACAAGACTGTAATGTGTTTCACACACATTTACAAGTGAAATAAGCCGAAAAGCTT